ATAATAAATCTTAAACATTTTATATTCTTAGGCTTATAACATGATATTTTTAAAGGCAATAAGTAAAAAATACTTTTTTAAAGAAAATTATTATAAAAGAAAAATTTTAAATAAAAAAAAATAGCAATTTTTAATTTGAACTTAATTTAATTTTAATTTAAATATAATAACTTTTCAATTATAACTTAGAATTCAATACGAATAAAAAAATTTCTATACAATAATATTGATCACTTAATAATTTGATTCAACTTGTATTTTAGAATTCCTAATATTGAAATACAAATACTGTATATCAATTTATTATTTAACAATTTGTTATTATATTGTAATAAACATACAGTATATACAGTATATTATTTAAACTATACATTAAAAAAATTCTTTTTAAATAAATATTTCCTTAATATATTTATTATTTTTGTTCCTTTAAAATACATAATCAAGCTCGATTCCAAATACATATTATATAAAGTAAGTAGAGATGGTTTGATACAGTTCGTTGTACTTAATTTTATAATATTATGATAAACAAATAAAACAATAAATAGTTATATTAATTGAACAGTATTTCTATATTATTTTACTATGTTTAGATCAGTATTCTAATTATCTGGCATTTATACATTATTTATACGAATCAATTAAAAAAAGCGCCTGTCATAACTTTGGCCACTCTCTGGAAATAATATGATATTTCTGTTTAAATCACTAAACATCACTTTCACAAGCGAGAAAATAATCGAATTCAAAAATTACATGGGACACAATTTAATAATTCAACCAAACTGAGATTTCGAAAATATAACCAGTAGCTTCGTTACTTTCCTATTTTCCTAGATATATAAAAAAAGCGGTACATTAATAAATTATCCAATCAAATATCATTGAAATTTAAGATAAACCCTCCCAATTGAAACTAATTACATCCGTTATTTATTCAGATATTGTATATTGTCATCAATCAAAGAATCGAAGAAGATATTTTGTGATTCTCTGATAAACTCAGTGCTTGACTCTATGGTATCATCATATAGAAATAGGAGCGGCAAAAATTTGATATAATATTCTAAACTCTTACCTTAAAAAAGGTTCAAACTATACAATTGAAGGCCCGCTAAAGAATAATTTGTTTCGTACATAAATAAAATTATTACGCCAAATAAATAGAGCCACAGTTATGATTAGATTATCAGATCAAATTAAAATAGTCGTTGTCACATGCTAGTTTTTGTATTACAAAAATCTTATCATAAATTACGTCGACGCAGTGTCTTACTATTAATTAAATAACATTCCATTGTCGAAATCGTACGATTATACTTTTACATTATGTCTTCTGAAATTCACGCACCTGGAAGTAACATTCTTTTAATCAGTTCCTCAAATTCCGATTCTGTACTGCTCGATCAATTTCGAGACCTGATTTCTCGACAAATCTCCAATGAAGGCCATGTAAACGTTGAAAATTTAGATCAAATAGTTACAAGTATGTTTTCAAAATATTTTTCTCAATTATAAATAAATGTTAACCTTCTTGCATGTGATTAAAGGTTCACCTCCGGTCTCCGCTTACAATGCTGTTTACACAAATTACTTTGGCCCTTTGACTTCCGTTCATTCCAGCAGTGTATTTACAAAAATAGTTACAACATTGACACCAGGTGGAGTACTTTATCTTAAAGAGCCTGTACTTGTTGGTTCACGATCTTCCAACCTACCGGCTATTCGTACAAGTGAAGAATTAATCAGTGAACTCAAAATGGCGGGATTTGTTGACGTGGCGATTCGTAGTTCTAATAAAGTTGAGACACAAGTGTTGACAAAAATTATAGAACAAGTGTGGGGTGTCAAAGATGAAGTCAAGCAACAAGAGCTATTACAGTGTTTTATTGAACAGTTAAATGTGATTGAAATTGTAGCAAAAAAACCTGACTATGAGGTAGGAACATCATTCGCTTTGCCTTTTGCAAAGAAGGCTACTGAAGGTAATATTTTTATATGCAATTCCTTTGCTTCTATTATTTTATCAAAATTAATAATATTTAAATTATTAACACAGGTAATAACGGTGTAGCGAAAAAAACTTCAATTTGGACGTTATCTGCTGATGATGACGAATATGGGGAATTAGAAAATGAGGACGAATTACTTGAAGATGATGATTTGGTTAAACCCGACAAAAGCACTTTAGCTCGTAAGTAAAGAAGGAAGTTTATTAAATAATCAACCTTATTTTTATAATTTACTTATTTCTCTCTTCAGGCCCTGATTGCGAAACTGATGGAAAGAAAAAAGCATGTAAAAATTGTTCCTGCGGGCTCGCCGAAGAATTGGAAAAAGAGAAGCAGGTTTCTGCAGCCAAATCACAACCCACCTCTTCGTGCGGAAATGTAATTATCACCTCTTTTGAACAATATACTTTCTTGATAAAGCTTTGGACTAATCGGTTCATAATTTTTTTTTTTCTAATAGTGTTACCTTGGTGATGCTTTCCGTTGTTCAACATGTCCATATCTTGGTATGCCGGCATTTGCCCCTGGAGAAAAAGTTGTTTTGGCGGGGAATCTAATGCAGGATGATATTGAAGTTTAAATTTCATCATTAATTACATGTGGTTAACTGCGTGTATCAATTCACGTCAATCCTTGTCACTAAATCACAAAATGTACAAGTGCTCCGATTTAATTTTTTTTTTAGCCTTTTTTTAATTTCTTCTAAATTCAGAATTCTATAATTGGAGGTTTTACATAAATAAATTCTATAATGTTAAAAGAAAAAATATCTAAAGGGCGTATGAAACTCGATATATATTTGATGTTAAACAGATGGTCATCACGAATATTCCATAAGTTGCTAGACATACAGATAATATTTTTCTAGTATCCCATGGTGAGTTTTCATTGAGTTTGTAATAAAATAGGCCAGGAAGGATGAATGAAACTGAAGTCGAACCCGTAGATCCAACGAACGCGAGCACCTAATTAAATATATAGATGGATTATTAAACATGTTGAAAAAGAATTAAATGTATTATAATATTACAAACTTACTATATCTAATTCAGATACAAGCATAGCTATTATATAACTTCCTATTAAAATCCCGCTAGTCAATAGAATATATCTTATCCCTGATGGTGATCTTGGAATTTTGTCAGGTCTTGACTGTAAAGACAGAAGCACTTTGTCTAAACATGCACGAGCTGGATGAGCTTGGAGTGGATAGGAGAAAAGTACTAGAATTACGATTGCAATACGACCAATAGTAACGATTGTGCTCGATTCATCTAGTAACATGAATAGAAGAATTAGTTAAAATTTAATGTGTAATTGCTAAATTAAAGATAACTTACACATTGATATTATATTAGCTGACACATCATCCCCAAAGCTGAGATATCCCAATATCCCAATTACTTGATAAATCATCGATGTGGTGCCAATGGAACCAATGATCACGCCATTAATGCTACTTTGACTATTATCTTCAAGCTCATTATATATAGAAAATATCTATGGGTAATAGGAAATCTTTAAGATTATATATAACCTCATTGAAATTATAATGCTCTAAATGACTTACATTCTGATGGCATGTAAAAGCAAATACAAAAATTGGCAAATTTGTGAAAAATTGTGAGGAAAATTTAATTAAATGTATCTTGTCCTTCGGTGGTGCTTGATACTCGGGTCCAAAAAAGTAATATATAACGATAAACAATAAGTAAATTACTGCTAAAAGAGCGATAAGACTGGTGTGCCTGAGGGAATCCAGTCTTTTAAGAAACGCCAAGGGCACAATTATTATCATGAATATAGTTATCCAAAACTGGCGGTCTATGAATACGGCGGCCTTTTCACTACCAACTAGTGAGTCAACTATCTGAGGCATCAAATCTCCAATTATAATGAGATATGAAATTCCAACGCCAAAACATTTTATGGCAATTGCAATATCGAAGAATAAGGCAGCTTTGGGATAAGTCAGTTTTGATACTGCGAAAAATGATGAATTGCGTCCTTTTGTACTAACGGCCGCAAGTGATAAAAAGTAAAGACCCAGAGCAGAAGCTGAGGCTGCATAAAAAATCATTATGCTACCTAACAAAAGACCAGTTGATGCAATGGCCGCTGGCTAATGTTAAAATGTAAATAAATGATTATTAATGTGTTGATGATTGGATAGATTTCACAAAGCATAGGGCTCGATTACCATTGCCAACATTCCTGTACCAAGAATAGTATTAGAAAGATTTATCTAGCGTAGAAAAGAAGGTTTGATTAATTTACAAGAACTCCTGAACTATTATTTACAGCTATTATAAACTTCAGTAACTTACAGCACAAGAAAAGTGACTGGCACTTCCATATTGAACTTCAGAATCTTCTTCCACATCCTCGAGAAGAGGTGCTTGATCCGAAAAACTATCTCTATGAATATCACCCGATAATACACTGTCTGAAGTTTGGGAATAGATTTCATCATCCTGGATTAAAGAGTATCCCGCCATTATGCCTCTGTAAAAAAAAAAGAATGAATTCAATGATTTTATTGTATGCCAGTAGGTTAAACAAAGGAATCCGCGTCTTTTCACGTGGTTATATTAGTTTTTAAATGCATATCTGGTTACAATTATATCCTTCTATGACTAGTATACAAAAGGGTCGGGTACACGATCTAATCTGATTCTAATAACCAATAAAATCTTTAGAAAAAACGGTTATATCTCTTTTTTAAACACAAATTTGCGACTTCATTAGTAGTACAAATGTTATTTAGGAAAAAATTGTGTATGTTATTTGATTACAGTAACACCTGAATGCAACACGACGTGAACATTTATAAGGGATAAAATTCTTATTTAACTTATAACTTGGAACCAAGCCAATGATTCATTTAAGGAGGTTAAAAGGTCGGAGAGATTAATTAATATATAATCACTTTACTTATTTTTTGTAAAAATTATAATATTCATAATTATTAATTATTAATTACGTATTAATTTTTTTTTTTATTCAATTATTCTTAAAAAATAAAATACGTATACGTATATTGTTTTAACTTGTTATTAAATTTGAAATTTTTTTTTCTATAATCAAACAAGTATATATGTTTGTTAAATGTTCATAAAAAACAAATAACATATAATATATTATATTGCTTAAACTATTTTATTGTTTTGAATATTTATTTTAAACTATGTTTCAAAATGTAACTTTGAAAATGAAAAAGATTGTTTTTTTAATATTTATTTATTTATAGAATTCAAAGTTAAAGATTATTATTTACAATTTATTATTATAGTTTATTTAAACAAGATCTAATTTACTTTTTATAATTACTTTTTTCTTTTATTTATTTATTTTTAAATTAATATCTTGTTTTAAACTTAAATCAAATTTAACTTTTCTATATTTTTTTTTTAAAGATTTATAAAATTTTATATTTTTATACTTTTCTATTTATGACTTTTTTTTTTTTATAACTTTAATATAATTATTTCTTTTATATTTTTTGTTTTTGACTTTTTTTTTATTTCTTACAATTTGAAATATTTGTTATTTCATATATTTTTCTAGTTTTTTATAAATAGATTTTATTACTTTGTTTAATAAAAGCTTAACTTTATAATCTATCCTTCAAACTATTTCTTTTACTTTAAAAATACCCATAACAGTATTGGTCTCCTTTTCAAAAACATGTCATCTCAATTTAAAGAATCAACAATAAAAATATCAAATGTTTTCAATATTAAATTCACCACTTAACTCTTATAATTTAACAGTTCCCTCAAACTATTCTAATCACAAATCATTTTTTATACTGGCATTGCATAATGTGATTCAAAACCAATCTCTTAAAATTCCATAGGCCTATTCCAAATTCAAAACCACTTTTTTGATTCCTTCACAACATCAACTCTTTCATCAAAACATATAAAAAATGTTTAGACATATATAAGAATATATTTTTAAAAAGCAGATATTATATAATAGACTCTAGCAACAATCTTATCAAGTGCCATGGCTATTCTCTAGGTTAACCTTTCAATAATTTCTATTTATTAATCTTCTTTAATACTAATGCTTCTTTATTTTAAACAATTAACAAAATCTCATTTAACTTCAAGCATTATTTATATAATATTATAGAAGAACTAACAATCTCTTCATCTAAAGATAAACACACTTTCCATTTAATAAATATCATACCTGCTTCACTACCTCTTTCATTACTTCAAACAATTGGCCTTTGCAATTCATATTATATTTAACTTGTCAAACAAGATATAGTAATTAAAGATACCAAAATCACAATGACAAATCCAGAACTACCAATAGATAATATGCTTCATATTATTTATAAGATCATGCAATAATACCCTATCCAGTATACTATCAAAATTAAAAAACAACAAAAACATTATTTAAACCCTTTTTAGCTTTCCTAAAAAACAAACAAAAATCAATTTTGCCACTTTAATATCAAAAATCAAATACTTGACAACACAAAAATCTATTAATTTCAATCTTGCCAAACTTAAATCCAATCCAAAAACTATTAATAATATATAATGGAACAATCCACCTCTATATTTTGCAAAGAATCTTACTATAAACTATACAGATTTGAAAAGTTATTCAAGATAATACAAGAAAATCTTTAGCATCACCAGGTTCTATATAATATGCAAGAGCTTCTTTATATTCAAAACACTTAATCAATCTCATAATACTATCAACTTCAAAATAATTAACTTATCCAACAAATATATAAAAGAACTTCATAATAATAGTTACAGTAATCTAGTAGCATTTAGAATCAAATTACTTTCGGAAACTCTTTCCATATAAGAATTTTTCTACAACTTATACCTTAAATACTATAAAAATCCATATTGTTCCAGATGCAGTTTTTAATTGAAAACTCTTTTTCATATTCTTAATTGCTTTGAAGCAAAAAAAGAAACCAAGCAAATTATCAATTTAATTAATGTAATCCTCTATTTAAACAATAGCAATCACCCAATTTCCAATACACAACAAATAATAAAATTAGTATATGAAATCACTACAAACATATTTTCTACAATCAACATTCACAACTGAATCAAAGCATCTACCAAAGCTCTTATGATGTCTTACAATCTCATATAGAAACTCTATTGTAGCATAACAAATACTTCATCTACCAACATCAAATGGAACAAAACAATAAAAACCAGAGCTCCTAACGATACCATTTCAATATTACTTCGATACCAGTTCGATACTTAAATTTACTATAAAAATACTGTATATGAGTAAATCACAACCTATATATTAAATTTATTATAGATTGGTACCATTTTGATACCAGTTCAATACTAGTTCAGTACTTTTTCAGAGCCCTAATAATAACAAATAGTAACAAAACCAACAATAGCAGCAAACATAATCACAACTTCAAAAATATAAACTATATTATTTTGAATTAAATAATTAATTGAAAATATAATGACTTAAATTAATACATATAAATATAATTTTAAAAATATTAAATTAAATAATTTTTAACTATAACAATTAAAAATTTAAATTTAAAATAAAATAATTTAATAAAAATTATATTTATATTAATTATATTAGTTTCAATTTAATTTATAAAAAATTAAAATTAATGATTTTCATATTGAATTAATTTACAAAAAAATTAAAACTAATAGTTTTCAAATTAAATTAGTTTAAAAAAAATAAATTGGTTCAGTTTCAATTTCATTTAAAACTAATTTAAATTGAATTATTGTAATTCCTAACTATAGTACTTTTATATAATTATATATTTATTTTCTTTTAGATAACTAAATACTATTTAAAACAATAATATAGATTTTTGAAATTCTTTTTTTCTGTATTTCTTTAATAGTATCAAAAAATACAAAAGTATAGCTATTTTATATAAGCTTTGTATTAAATTTTCTAACAAAAAAAATATACATATTATATTATAAATATTATAATCTTATTTTGTAAATGAAAATATAATAATTAATAAAGTATAATAGTTATTTGCTTTTTTTAAAAAAAAAATAAATAAAAAGATTTTTAAAAATTTTAATTTCTAAATATAAAATTTTTTGTTATAAAAATTTTATATTAAAATTTATATTTTTTTTAAAATCTTTCTTATATTTTTAAATATATAAAATCTAGTTTAAAAAAAATTAAAATTGGATTCTTTTATAATTTGGTAAATAATAATTTAAATTAAATAAAAGTTTTGATATATATTATTTATAATAAAAGAAATAATATATTAAAGTTTTACAAATAGAAAATTTTTTTTATTGATCCTCTTGCCAATACAAAAAACAGACATTTCAAAGAAATTTTATATTTCTTTATAATAAAGTCTATATACTTTCTTTAACAACATTAATATCTAGAAGCTTTAGTTTCTCCTCTCTTGTTTTTTTTTCTCTTTGATATAAATTTTCTATATTTTAGCAAGTAAATATAAGAAAAACTTATCTATAAAGTCAAAGGCAAGAACACTTTGTTAGAAAAAATAACCTGTAAAAAAAATAACTTCTTTTCTTTTTTCAAAGATTCAAGACTCCAAGAAAAAATTGATATAGCTTTTGAAACTTTTTCTTATCTTTCTTAAGTCTTTTTTCTATTATTTTAAGCATATATATATATTTTTTATTTTTCTAAAAAATTTTGCCTATCTCAATTTGATCCCGAATTTTGATTACACCAGAACTCCTAAATAATAATTGGTTGATCTATACGTAGCAAGAAATATAAACAAGACATGTAACTAAAGATGGATCTTTAAATTATTTAGTATATAAAATTTTACAGATCAATTATGTTTCTTTTGAAGAAATATAATTATTTATTTATTACTTTAATAGGGACATAATTCAAAAAATACTTGAATCAAGTGGCCTAAATTATTAAAAACCTTTGTAGGTAGTTTTTTTTTGATCTTATATTTAAAAAAAAAAACTTTTTTTAATAATAAGAGATATTTAAATTATGTTTTCACTTTTAATTTAGAAATTCATCTTTATATGTAACTTTTATATGCCTTATCTCATATAACAATAAATCCGATAATGCTATTGGATATAATGAAAAGAGCAAGGTAACAAGATATCTATTTTATCAAGATATGTTATGGTGCTTTCACTTCTCTCTTAGATTTTTTTTTTTTTTTTTAAGATCAAAAAAAGTTTTTTCTATTGTTAATTATTCAAAAAAACATTAAGCAATAATTTTCTAAGATATAAGTCTTGTTTCAAGCAATAATTTTTTATAGATATAAGACTTGTTATAAATATCTTGAATGTTCTTGGTCAGCAATAGAATAGTAGAAATTAAATAGTTTGCCTAACTGCAGATAATAGTAAAAGATTTATTCTGATGGACCAAAATTAATATTGAAAGGTTTTTATTTATTAAAACAAACTTTTTAATTATTCTTTTTATTTATCTTTTTTTCTTAAAAAATAATTTTTTTTTA